TTTAGAGGCAAACCTGGGAGGCCCTGGGTGAGTGTTACCGCTCTCTCTGCCCTTCTCATGTTGGGGTTTAGAGGCCAAGGGGGGGGCAGAGGCAGAAAAGCAGGCCGGGAGGCTTCAGAGGGACCCTGCTAGCCCCTGTGCTGCACACGTGCCCGCGGCAGGGGCGGCCGGGCGCCGGCTGGACATGCAGCGCTCAGCCCACCGCAGCCCTGAGCCAGGGCTTCTTGCAGGACCTGGTGAGTCACGGGCGGGTTCAGGTTTGAGAAGCTCTCATCCCGGGGCGCTTGGCAGATGTAGAAACTGGGGCCCGGAGAGGAGGATGACTTCCCGGGTTTGCACAGCTCCCCAGCGGCTAAAGCCCAGAGGCCAGGCTGGGGTGCTACTTCTCCCGCGTCCCCCGCACCCCCCGTCCCCCCAGGTTCCCTCCCGTGGGTCCCCTCCTCAGGCAGACCCCTCTCACCTCGGATGGAGCTGCCCCCATTGTCCCCTGGAATCCAGGTCAGGGTGATGGAGGAGGCGGAGGTTTTGGAGACGGTGAGGCGGGGCTGGTCGGGGGGCACTGTGGGGAAAGCCACAGCCCTCACCACAGGGCCGCCTTCTGATGATGGGGACTGGGGGGTCCCGATAGGCAGGAGGGCGAGGCACTGACTTTCCCACCCCTGGGTGCAACCCACACCTGCTCCTTCCCTGAGGGTCGCTTTCCCGGGGTGGGGGTGGGGGGTTGATCTTTCTCTTCCATTCGACAGCCCCCTCTCACACGATGGGGTTTCCACCGCTTCTCAGTCCTGCCCCGGCCGCCTGCCGCCCGGGCCTCACCTTGCACGAGCAGGTTGACGATGATGGTGTCAAAGCCCCCGGTGTTGGTGGCCGTGCAGGTGTAGTAGCCCGAGTCCTCCGCCTTGACCGCACGCAGCAGCAGCGTGCCGTTGGCGTGGATGAGCCGGTGCCCGTCCACGGACACAGGGATGGCCGAGTCCTCACTGTGGGGGATGGGTTATGGCACGCACCCCTCCCCTGGGCCTCCCCCGGGTCTGCGGGCAGATGGAGCTGGGAGCAGGAGGCGGCTTGCTAGGGGTGCCCGATTCATGGGGCTTTACTTAGGACTTCCGGGGCTATCTAGGAACCTTGGCCTTTCGACCATCTGGGGAAGGGAGATCCTGAACTCCCAGCAGGGAGGAGTCGGGAGGCCAGGCCTGCTCCTGAGATGGACCTACGGGCTCCTCTCTGGGCTCACCCGCCTTCCGGGCCCCACACACCTGTCCTTGGTCCATTTCACAGCCGGGGCCGGATCGCCCACCGAACTGCAGGGCAGCCGGACGTCTCTCATCCAGGGTGTGGTCACGGTGCCCCCAAAGGAGATGATCTTCGCTGGGGCTACAGAGAGGAGAGGGTGAGGCTGCCCCTCTGCACCCAACACTGCCTTGGCCCCCCTCACAGGGCTCCCCAAAGTTCACAGACAGTCCTGCCTCTCCCATCGGACCTCAACCTTGGACTTGGGGTTGGGGGTGGGTGCAGGGAATTTATCAGTGCTGTTAGGGGTCAGCTACCACATGAGGCCGAGGAGTCACAGACAAACACAGTGCGTTCGGTGAGGGTGACTGCTGGGTCCAGCTGGGCCAGCTCAGGGGTGGGAGTGTCCTCATGGAGACACGACTCTCGGAAGAAAGAGTGGGGGTGCAGTAGAGATGGGGGAGGAGAGGGTGCAGGAGAGATGGGGGAAGAGAAGGGGTGCAGGAGAGATGGGAGGAGTGGGGGTGCAGGAGAGATGGGGGAGTGGGGGTTCAGGGAGAGGTGGTCCTGGCAGGAACTTCACGGCCGCCAGGCGCACAGTAGGGCTGGAAATGAACCAGCGGCCGCAGTGCTTCTGAGCAGAGGGGCCTTTTCAGCCAGGGCCTTCCTGGGGGACGGCAGGTTAAGAGGCAGGAGGCCTGTGCAGGGCTGTGGTGTAGGGCCTGAGGCTCCTCCCTGGGTGGGCGGCACCGAGCCTTGGCGGGAGGGAGGATCTGGGGGCGGCTGAGAAGGAAAGGGGTGCTTGAGCGGAGAGGACGCCTGGAGGCCGGAGACTCGGATGGAGCTGAGGGGCCTCGGTTATGGCTTCTGTTGGGGCCACAGAGCGGTCCTGGGGGCCCGGGGAGAGTGCCAGGTTCGGCTCCACTGTCTGGCCACCGTGTGGCCGGGGCTGGCCTTGAACTGCCTGGCCCTGGGGCAGGTGTGGCGCTCGGTGCACAGCATGTCCCTCCGGCCTCACAGGCTGCTGTGAGGACAGGGCGGGGATGTGTGACTGTGTTTTGGGAAGGACAGAGTCCCGGGATGTGACATTTCATGCCCACAGAGGAAGGCTCAGCCTTCTGAGACACAGCCCCGCAGCCCCTGTGCCAGGCCAGTGCCCACTGTCCAGGGCACTCTCGCTCTCAGCCATTCCTCCAGCAGGAGAGGCGTTTAGGAGAAGGCAGTGGCAGTGCCGCTGGGAAGAAGGGTCAGGGGAGGTTAGAGATGCTGAGCCGCGTGGACAGTGCCCCAGTGTGGAGCCAGGAGGACCAGCCCACCTGTCACAGCCGCCCCACAGGCCGTGCGCCCCTGCTCAGCTGTAAATGGGATGTCAAGTTCACGGGCAGGGCTGGGGCCCGGCCCACTGCGGGCCCAGCGTGCGGGCTGACTCTGAGCCTGTGTCAGGGGAGGGCTGATGCCTCCTGTGTCCCAGCCAAAGTCCCCTTCCTCCAACCCCATCGGAATTCTGGTTCTGGGCCCTGGGCTAGAGGTCAGGTGGCCGTGGGAGGAGGCGGGGCCGGCAGGAAGGGCCCAGGGAAGCCCAGCATCAAATAGTGAACCGGAGCCAGAGGCTGTGGCCACACCCCCGCCTCAGGCTTGGCCCAGAGGCAGCCTTGCAGCTCTGTGTGGCCGCCTCTGTCTCCATCGGGCTGTGGCCTCAGAACCGTCATGCCCTGTCAGGTGGTGTGCATGTGCTCCCTGCACATGCGTGTCCAGGTCAGGGGTTCAATGGGCACTCCTGCAGGCCAAGCACAGGCTACGCCACCCGTGTGGCTTCTCCCCAGAGCCTCCTCCACCATACGCCCTCGGCGTGACTTCTGCCTGAGCGAACCAGTGAGCGGGGTGGCCCCCTGTGTGTGAGGCGTCCAGGCTCAGGGCGGGGCCTGCTCTGGCAGGCAGGGACCCACCTGGCCCCTCTGAGGAGCTGAGCACTGGGACAAAGGGTTTGCTGGGGCTGCAAGGGGCTACCTCCCCCTTCTCTAACCCCAGAGTAGAGTTTGAAGTGGGGGGCCGGTGCTCCGTGCCCCCAGCCCCAGGCAACAGAGCAGCCTCAAGCCTGTCGTGAGGCTCTCTGGGCAGCAGGGGGCGGCAGAGGCCCAGTCTTGGTGGATGCAGAAGGGAGGCAGTGGACCAGCCCCTCAAACAGGGCGGAGGGAGACATCCCCTATTTGTGCAGAATCAAAATTCCAGAAAAGAGCGTCTGGAAGCTTCTGTCCCTCTGGCCCGGGCCCAGGCTGCTCACCCTTGCCAGCAGGCTCGACGACGACCTTCTCACTGCTGTTGCCCCGGCCGGCAGAGGTCACGGCCGCCACCCACAGCAGGTACTGCTGGCCTCGGTTCAGATGGGCGATCCGGTAGAAGAGCTGCTCCGGACTCGTCTCATACTCGCTGGGAGCCTGTGGGGTGGAGGCGAAGACGTCCTGAGACCCCAGGCCCTAGGGCCTCCAGCCCCCAGCCCTAACCTCGCCGTGGGGCCCTGGGCTCAGAGGTGGCGGCCTAGGGGCTGTGCAAGGGGAGGCACATCCTGCCTCCTTGGCCCTGGTCGTGGCCCAGGAGCTGACGGGCCTGCTCCGGGGCTGCTGGGTCAGCCTCAGGTACCACTGATCATCCCTGGCTGGCAACTGCGGCTCCAAGGCCAGGGATGTGTGTGTTTTGGTTAAAAGCTGGCGGGAGTGGGGAGAGGGGAATAGAGGAGGGAGGGTCCCAGCAAAAGCTTGAGAAAGGGAGTTTCTGGAAGAAGCTAAATGACCATGCTCGATTCCCCCCGCCTGTCCGCACGCAAGGCCCCCCAGCCTCCATCACCGCTCCTCCGTTCTGCAGGAAGCCAGGTCCCGGCGAAGGGGTAGGCGAAGGGGCGGCGAGGGACGGAGAGCTTCCCCAGGCAGCACTTCATTACCGGTTATTGGCGCAGACCCTGTCTATAGTTGTAGGTTCTATAAATCTATAGGTTTTTTTTTAACCAAATGACAGTTTTGACAAGTTGCCAACAAAACAATATCAGATCCCAGTGGTTTTACCAGTTGCTTTGATGAAAAGATTATGTTACCGTGGAAACCAGAGGCTCAGATATTGAAATGAATTTGAGCAGGAGCTTTTGATAAGCGCTAGTTTGCAGCCCTCCTGGCAGCCTCTTCCCGGGCGCAGGCGGGATGGGCTGGCTTTCATTTTATGTTATTTTTTGGTCGGCTGCAGGGAAGGGGGAGGAGGACTGCACTAGAGCCTCTTTGAAATCAGGGCGGAAGTCTCGGGAGGGGGAGCCCCCGGAACAGATGGGGGGCCCTGAGGCCAGAGGGAGCTAATAATTAGTTATCTCTGCAGTCACAGGCTCGTGCCCACATATGTGCACATGCGCACTCAGACACACAGACATGCAGATGCTTTCCTCACATGCCGAGGGGCAGACCTCCGCAGTCCCAGAGGCATGTGCTCTGCGCCCGTGGTGGGGCTGAGGGCCCCGTGACTGACAACAGCGGCCCAGGCTGTATGCAGGGAAGTGCTAAGGAGAAGGCACAGGCGTTCTGCAATGGACGGAGAACTCCCTGGCCAACTCCTCTCCCCCTCCCCCATGGAGATCTGGCCTTGAAGCCAGGAGGTCCCTGCTGGGGGAAGGTGCAGAGCCACCTGGGCCCTGGTAGTGGGGGGACTGTGCACATCTGTGCTTATGTCCGTGCATGAGGTAGGGTGGGTAGTGGCTTTAGCACCTGCCTGCCCTTCTCACTAGACATATGATTCCAATGTCTCTTAGGGATCCTGGGGCCTCAGTTTTCTCTGCTGCAAATGAAGAAAGCTATACAGCTCTGCCCACTCTGCATGGTGCATTGTGTGTGTGTGTGTGTGTGTGTGTGTGTGAAGAAAGTTGAGTGTAGCTGCTTGTGTGTGTGAGTGTGTGTGTACCTGCGTGCACATTTCTCTCTACGCAGGGAAGGAAGGGTTTGGCTTCCTCTTGAAGGTGTTAGCATCTTACCCAGCACACTTCCCTTTACCCCGGACCAGCCTACCCCAAGAATCTGCTGAAATCCCTTAAAAACACACACAACCATACTCCCAAGTAAAGTTCCAGTGGATCAAAGGTTAAATAAAACAAGAAAGCCCGGCAGGTGTGGTTGACCTATAAACCAGGAGGTCGCTGGTTTGAGTCCCTGGTTTGATTCCTAGTCAGAGCACATGCCCAGGTTGTGGGCTCAATCCCCAGTAGGGGGAATGCAGGAGGCAGCGAATCAATTATTCTCTCTCATCGTTGATGTTTCTATCTCTCTCTCCCTTTCCCTTCCTCTCTGAAATCAATTAAAAAAATATAAAACAAGTAAAACTACAAAATAAAAAATGATAGGTTATCCGTCTTTTAATCACAAAAGCAAAGGCAAAATTATAAATGGAAATGGTTTATAAATTTGAATTATATGAAAAGAAAACCTGATATACAGGTTTTTACACCAAAAATAGAATCAAAGGCAAACAATGAACTAGCAAACACTTGCAACCTGTATAATAAAAAATGCTGTTATCCTTAATATGCAAAGAGTATTTGCAAATCAATAAGAAAAAGAACACATGAGCCATGTAAATAAAAAATGAACAAGGGACATGAATTGACAACGATGAAAAAAACAACAAACCCCAGTAAAAACATATAACAATAATCAACCTAACTAGTAATTAAAGAAAAAATAAACTTAAAAAAATCCAACTGGCAAAGATGAAAAATATATAATACTTTGGATTAACATGGAACAAGGAACAAGAATGCACTTACCATGCTAGTGGAAGCACAAATGGGTGAAAACTTTCTGAAGGGTAATTTCCAAATGTCTATGCAAACTTTAAGAATATTCCTACAGAAATTTACTGTAAGAAGCATAGAGACATTTATGTCTCAATGAAGCATTATTTATAATGGTGAAAATTTGAAAATAGATTAATATAAAATAATGGAAGGAGTGGTTAAATAGATTATGTACAAACATGCATTTAAGATCATATTTAAAAAATATTTGATGGTGTTGGAAAGTGCCCACTATATTATACGAAAAGCCATATGATCTCACTAATATGGGGAATCTAATGAACAAAATAAACTGACTAACAAAACAGAGCCAGAGGCGTGGGTACATGGAATAGATGGACAGATGTCAGAGGGCAGGGGAGGGGGACTGGATAAAAGCAGGTGAAGAAATTAGCCAAAGAGCTAATGGACGCAGACTGTGGGAAGGGGCTACTCAGAGGTGGGCAAAGGGGGAGGGGAGGATAGGGGACATCTATAATAGTTCAACAATACAACAAAAAAAGTAAAAACTTTATTTAAAAATATTTGTATTGATTTCAAAGAGGAAGGGAGAGGGAGAGAGAAATAGAAACATCATTGATGAGAGAGAATCACTGATCAGCTGCCTCCTGCACGCCCCTCACTGGGGATCGAGCCCACAACTGGGGCATGCGCCCTGACCGGTAATTGAACCATGACCTCCTGGTTCATAGGTCGAAGCTCAACCACTGAGCCATTCTGGCCGGGCTTATTTTAATTAAAAAACAAAACAAAACACACACATACACCTAAAACCCACAATATATGTACAGATCAAATACCGGAAGGCTGAATACCAAAACATTGCCAGTGCTTCTCTTTAGGGAATAAGAGTATAAGTAATTTTTGCTTTCCTTTCTTTCTTTTATATATTTACAGAATTTTCCACAATAAATTGCATTATTTTGATAATTAGAGAAAAACACAAATGTTTTAAAGTGTTGGGTAAAATTTCCAACAGGACTCAATGCAGCTCGGCTGTCTCCAGGCGTAACTTGTGGGGAGCCAGCGCCATATGTAGTTTTCCACGTCTATTCTAGGGTTGCGCACACACACGCTCATATACTTTGACTCGTGTGCATCTGTCTCCAACCCGCACGCCTACCCTCTGCTCTGCACGCCACGCGCACACAGGTGAGCACTGCCGCGCTCACTCCCCGAGCCCTTTCAGAAATGGATCTGTCAAGCAGGTGTTTGGAATTCGGTGGTTAGGTCCCCGGGTCCCTACCCCGAAATGTGGCTGAAGCTCCCCTCTCACTAGCGCACCGGCCCCTGTAGACACTGTCCGACTGGAAACCTTCCCACGAGAGAGGGGGTCCCGACACGCTCGGACACGAAGCGGGAGCAGGGAGGGCCCGTCTCAGCAGCGGGAGGGAGGAATGGGGAGCAGTAGCTCTTCTCTGGGCCCGTGGAGGGGGCCCCTCCAGCCCACGCGAGTGAGGAGGCCGGGCTCCTGGTCCCCATCCCTTGGGAAGACTTCCTCATCCGAACAGCAGGCACCCGATTGGAGAGCCTGTGTCTGAAGGGAACGGCCTGATGCCCGAGGCTTTGCAGGTACCAGGCCGCGTGCTTTTCATGGCAATGATGTTCCAGGCACAGTGTTTGGCAGCTCGGACCCAAAGATGAAAAAGATGCTGCCCTTGTCCTAACAGGCCCTGCGGACTAGTGCGGGAGACCTGTGGGCAGCTAACTGCCCTCCAGCCCACCCAGCGTGTGACAGAGGGAGGACGCCTGCAGGAGGCAGCAGTGGGCAGGGGTGTCGTGCTGTGGAAAGGCATTGTGGGTGCCCAGATGTGACAAGTTTAGAGTGAGGAGAGCCTGGAGTGTGTGTGTGTGCGTGTGTGTGTGTGTGTGTGTGTGTGTGTGTAAGGGTGGGGGAGGAGGAGAGGGGGCAGAAGACATCGGCTGGAAAATTGGCACAACCACCACCTGCAGGCCCCATAACCCAGCAATTCCGCTCCTAGGTACGCGCCCGCAGGGACGATGAGCACCAAGAGACACGCACGAGAATGTCCACGGCAGCACCGTGTGTCTTAGCCCCGAACTGAAAACTACCCAGATACCCATGGGTGTATAACGGCTTGTAACATGTGTGTAAACAGAAACCTGCACAGATGTGAGTGGACTGTCTATGCCGCACACAACAACGTGGGTGAAATTCACAAATTCAAAATGCCATCCAGTCAAAGAAGCCAGACAGACGGCATGGAAAGGCAACATCAATCTGAAGCCAGGACAGCCCCGCGCACATCTCCCTAACTGCTGTCGCCCCTCTGGGGCCCCCCGACCGGACGCCTGCTGAGGGCAGGTGTCCTTGCTCCTGCTCTCGTAACCAGAGCAGGCCAGTAGCTCTGCGGTTGAGGGGCTGGAGAGGAGGCAGAGGGGAGGGTGTGTATTATGGGATGTGGGTGCATAGCCACTGCAGCCGCCCTCATCCTCTCGCTCCTGGGTTCAGTGGGAGGGCACTGTGCCCCGGTCTGGGGGCCACCCCTCACTCCGGGTCTGGGCACATATTGCAGCCTCTCCGTCTGCTCACCTGCACTGGGCCCAGGCCCTGGTCTAGAGAGATGTCCCTGCCCCTCTCAGCTGTCCTCCGTCTTCCTCCTTCCTCTCCTCCCTCCAGCTG